TATATCCCAACTTCCCTTCCAACTAGATTTAGCCCCTCAGTACTCCAAGCAACAACTTTTTAAATATCATATAAACAACTAAAGAAAAGCTGATCTTGTTTTCTTTTAAAACAAAATAGAATTTCCTTCAGATTTCAAATTAGATTCTTCTTTCACCTTAACAATCCTCCAGCTTCAGAGGAGGATTCCCCAGCAGAGATTATTACTATGCTCTGCCTCAACACACACACACACACACACACACACACACACACACACACACACACGAGAGCAGATTTTTACTCCTGAACATGGCAAGAGCATATTATCAGAAAATTTCTGCAAAGCTTGACTTTCAATCTCACTGTGGCTGAGAAGTAAGTTTCTTTTCTCTTTAAACTTTCCTAGGAGAACAACAAAAAGAAGACAGCAGCTGCTGCCACTTAAGGGAGGACACAGCAATACAAAAGCCCTTTCACCAGCAAATTTCTTAACTCCCTAACTGGGCCTCCCACCAGTATCTATTTAAGTTCATACTGCCAGGAATTCTAGACCCAATGGAGAGAAATGCTCACACCGTAACTGGCCACACTTCCAACAGCCACCCAGCTCTTAGCCATTCTCAGAGTTTTCAGTCATGATCCATGGCCCATTAGTATCTGCTACATTCCATTTCCTGTCATGAGAGAACAGGCTGCGGGGAAAATATACGTCCTAGGATGTATGCAGAATATCCTACTTTATTTTAGGAAACACATTTTTCAAAACCAAACAACAAAAAATATTCAGACATCTGCCAAACAAGACAGAGGTTCCAAGAACATTCTCCCTATCAATGAGGTTAGCAATCAGGTAAGCCTGAAATGAAATTCCCTTCTGTTTCCACTATACAACTGCATTCATGCCGTGTCCACTGTAAGAAAGGCCAGAAGACAATCTTTGGTGATACAGGAATGATAAACTAAAACTTCCCCCATAATGAGAACACAGCAATTTTCTCTTTAGAAAAATGTAATCCTCATATGCCCTCCCATATTTCATGAATGGTGATTTATCTTGTCACAACAGCTATACTTCCATATTAACTCATTCTAAGTCTTTCCATAGAAACATACGTAAATTTCAATACTGAAACCATGATCAGAATCCTAAAGAGTAACCCAGTGTTAATAAGCTTAAATATCTGCTCTTATCTTAATGAAAAACATGGCATCCCCAAATAAGTAGAGTCAAAGGAGAAAATACTGTTCCTGGATTGCATTATACCACCATCCAAACACAGAACCATACTACTTCTGACTGAAGGCAAAACATACCTGTGAGCATCCCATTATCATATACACATCAGGGAAAGAGACTCACCTAAACACTGCTGCAACACATCTTTCCATTAACAATTTAAAAAATTTTTGGATAAGCATTTTTCTATATACTATCTTAGTTTTAAAAATTAACAAAAAGATGCAGCTTCTTCTGGGTCCTCCAATAATTATTAACTTGATGGATACCCATCAGTTAAAATGACTAAACAGAATTTATTTCACAAATCTATGAGGGATGCTCAAGATTCCATTCTGCTTGACTTGGAAACATACAAAGCAACCAAGAACCTATGTGAAGTAAAAATGAGGTGAAGTATTATCATTATGCTGAGAACTATTAAGTTAAGCAAACCAAAACCTAAATGTGAAATTACACATGCTTCCAAGAAAACTACTCCACTAAGTATTTTTGTCAAATCTACTTTAGAATTCTACTGTAGATTTTAAGCAGAGAAATTTAAAGAATCTTAATCAGAGCTGTAGAGATTGGCTCTCCAACAAAAACTGACTTTCCAAATAATTTTTCATGTAATGCTCTATCCTTCCAAACCTCAAATGGAAGGGCAATCACATGGGCACAGATTTGTCAGAACAGTTCATTAATAATCCCCAGAGGCCTCTCCAGAAAAAGCATATGACACAGTAAGAGATTATCAGATGAGCAAATGACTGTTACCCCCACACTGAGATTACATGTTACCTCCCTATAAAGCCAATTAGCAAAATATGTAAAAAATTCAGAGTTAATCCGCAGACGTTTCATTTTTTAAAAAACGACTTTTCAGGTGATGTTTCAAAATTTAAGCAGATTTAAACAGAAGAAGAAAGATCTTAAAAATAGTAAAAACTAAGTTCAAGTTTTTGAATATATTCTCTGCTTTGTAAAAAGGATATAAAAGATACGCACATTTGACAATGTTGAAATAGTTAAGCCACTACAAAAACCTGGTCATAGTATTCAACCAACACAAGGAGTTTAAAGCCAAAGACAAGAAGCAAATAGTTACGTGTACAGGTTTTTGGTCCCCCGAGTCAGAACAGTGCTGCAGAGGCCCAAATCAATCAGCCCAATAATAAATGCATCACTGTTGGAGAAAGTGAGAGCCCAATGGAAGTGGGCAATGAAAAGAGTGAAGCTCTAGAAAAGTGCTAACCAGACCTGAGCCAAGCCAACACCAATCCTTACTGAGATGGAGTGCCCCCATTCTGTGATGTTCCCATTGGTATTTCCAAACTGCCCTTACTTTTCCTGGTTAGAAAGACATTCCTCCACACTCCCACAATGCCCTAGAAATTAAACTACAAAAAAAAAAAGAAAGAAAGAAAAACATAAAAAGCTTACTTAATTTCAGCATTCATTCCTGCTGCATAAAACTAATTTTTTTTCCTAAAGGAATTTAATATTATGTTACTAGTTGCCCTGGCCAAGAATCTCTAAAATAACTTGGGCTGATAATTCTACTGTCAGAAAAAAAAAAAAAAATCTTGTAATGCATACCAGTCCAATATATATTTTATCACTTATTCAATTTCAAAAGGCATACATAAATAAATCTACCATACACATGAATGTTTTCCTCTGTAAAACTAGGATCACAGAATGACCTAGAAATTTCCAGCTTCTCTCTCACCTTTAAATATCATTATATAAATGCCTAACGGTCTTTCATTCCTTTACCAACCACAGGGCCCATAATCCTAACACCTCCTCCTCCTTCCCACTAAATTACCAGTGGAAGAATCTGGCACTGCCTTTCAGCTCTGAAAACTACCACAAATCTATTTCAGGACACTGCCTTGTTTGGTTGGCTCCTCCCACCTCAATCCATGGTAGTAAAAATAACCCAACTCCTTAATTTATAGGTTAAAAAAAAATTCTACTTTTGAAATGATTCCTTAAAAAGCAACAATAAAAATATACTTTTCATTTGAAAGAAAACCCCAAAAGGCAGCAATCATATAATTTAAGTCACGAATAGGATGTAAATTAAGATTCAGGTTCTATTTTCTGATTCAACTTTAATTTGTAAGAGTTCTTTATAGGTTTTTTGAAATCTACTTTGAGAAGGAAAAAAAAGTAGGAATATGTGTTCTTAGAAATTAAAAAGAACATGTCATAGTTTCAACTTCAATTATTAACTTTGGATATTTCTCTATGTTGACAATGTACCTAAAAATTCTAATTTATATTGGACAGTAATAACAAAACAATGACTAAAAAAAAAAAAAATAGGCATTCTACTCTTCAGATAAATAACTACCAAACACTACTGCTTATGCTTACTTTCTCTTATATTAACTGTGAAACTTTTAGGTGAGGAACATAATCTGTAGATCTACTATATATCTAACACATGCTAGTGGTATACAATTAGCGAAAGAATCCCTGGAATTAATAAAAGCATAATAAAAAAACTATAACCTCCAAAATAACTATTTCTAAGAGAAGTTAAAATTTTCCTGTGCTTTGTATCTTTAGATTCTCATATGGACACTGGGTAAGTGCTAACTAAATACTTTTGTTATTTTTTTATGGTATTACTGAACACATAAAGATTTAATGTAACCATCAAATTCTCTTTTAGAATGGACAGATTTATAAAGGAAAAATGAAAGAGATTAAAAAAACTCACCTATCACTATTTTGTGCTACAGTTACCCAGTTTCCTTCTATTTCTATGACCATGCTCAGAGGGTAGGCCATTCAAAGCCAAAATATTAATTTACTCATTTATTCTTTCGACATTGATTTAACAGTTTCTATGTGCCAGCCACTCTTTGCTAAGTGTTGAAGATAGAAACATATGAGTTTATTAAGGCTCACACTCTATCAAGGAGGTTGACTTGTAACTATAATATCTTTGCAGCCAGGAAAGTATGCACATAATGCAAAACAGTATATACTCACATGAACTGGTCATCTTGGAGGTCCTAGTTTTAGAACCCTATTCTAGGTGAAATGGTATCATAAAAAGTCATTGCTACCATTTCAAAAAAAAAAATTAATAAACCTAACACACTAAGACCTTTCCCATGTTATTTCGCTGTATCATCACATAAATCTTGTAGTAATTTTGAGTGTCTTCATCTTACAGATGAAAAGTTAGTTTAAAGCAGTATTTCTCTCATTCAAGATCATATGTTAAAAACAACTGAAAGAGCCAGGCTTACAAGACAGGTCTTTTCAACATTCCACTACCCTACATCTGCCTCTCAGACAAAACCTGGGGGAGGTACTAAGTAAACCAGATCATATTATAGACGTTCTAACCCATAATCTGTGTGCACTGCATAATGTTGGAGGCTGTGCAATCACCTCTGGATGGCATGCCAGATGGTGCTAGTGGTTGCTGTAAATAGGGCCTTCGAACACCTGAGTGTGAAAAACCTCTGAAGGGCTTCTCAAAGTTACAATAAAACCAAAGTGATATTTTTGATAATAGAGAGTACAAACTTAGAGATGAGTATCAGTAGGAACAGTTTTAATTTTTTCTCAATCACTTAATGTCCATTTAATCATCTGGGGTCCTTCGTTCCATCTTCATGACTTATATCTACATACAACAGATCAACACCATTCAGAAGCACTTCTATAATGGGCCCTAAGAGAGATCAACTGGGGATTGTGAAGGATCAATCGAAGGCATCTGTGAAAAAAATAGGAGGGATGAGAAACCACAGTAATAAAAACATATGTACCTGTTTCTTCATCTATCTTGAAAACACCAACACCAGAACCATCTCTAATGGAATATCGGATCTCCCCATCTCTTCCTGTGTCCTCATCATGAGCTGACACTGTCATTACCGATGAGCCAATAGGGACATCTTCTTTCACTGCACCCTTTTCCACAAAGCTGGAAAATACTGGAGGATGTAAGTTCTCATTCACATCAATTACCTCAATTTCCACATAGCAAGTGGAAGACAGAGAAACTGGCTTTCCTTTGTCTTTGGCCCTCACCGTGAGATTGTACACTTGCTTCTTCTCAAAGTCCAACTGTTGCACAATTCTAACTGCTCCACTGAGTTTATCCACATCAAAGTGTCCTTCTCCATGGTCCATAAGACTGTATCTCACTTGACTAGATTGACCTAAGTCAGGATCGTAGGCTTCTAACCACATGATTATCGTTCCTTCTGGCAGATCCTCTCGAACTTTCACACGGTAATTAGGTGGAATGAACTTAGGTGGGTTGTCATTAACATCTTCTAGTGAGACTTTCAAAAGCACAGTGGAAAACAACTGGGGCTCTTCTTTGGCTTGATCCCTGGCTTCAATCTTTAAGTAATGCACATGCTGTAGTTCACGATCCAAAGGGTGTATAATTTTAACCACACCAGTTGTGCTGTCAATTGAAAACTTATCAGTATCTGTAAGAATAGAGTATGTCACATGTCCATTGGGGCCTAGATCTTTATCAGTAGCTTCAACCTGGATGATTTCACTATTTATCTCTTTGTCTTCACTCACTTCAACAAAATAGCTCTCCTGTAAAAATTCAGGTGGATTATCATTGGCATCCAGAACAATGATATCCAGAAGACGCCAAGCTGCCTTCTGTGGTATACCAAGGTCAAAAACAGTAATATTCAATGTGTATCTGTCTGTTGTTTCACGATCAAGTGAAGATAAAATTTTCAGCATTCCTGTTTCCATGTCAATGATGAAGCAACTATCCTCATTTCCTCCAGAAATAGCATATACCAATTTTCCATTGAAGCCAGAGTCAAGGTCAGTAGCATTCATGAAAATTATGCTGGAACCCACAGGATGGTTTTCCTTTACCTCAATACCAGCCGGAAGAGTACTCCTAAACTGTGGGACATGAGCATTGACGGAGTGAGAATCAAAGAAAATATCCTCGGCCTCCCCCTGACCGTGCAACTTATTTGCCTGCAGGAGTTTCTCTGCCAGCATTTTGGCAACACCAGTCTCTTCACACTGCAAGTTTACTGGCTTGCGACTGGCAGCCACAGTTATGTTGATATATAATGGGGTGGCAAAATTTTCTCCATCTGTAGCTGTAATTCTCAAACTGTGAAAAGATACCTTTGCACCTAAACCATCCATAAGTGACTGCTTTAATGACAATACCCCAGAGTTGGGGTTTAAGCCAAACAAATCTAGTTCATTCCCAGCTTCAATCTGATACCGTACCAACTGAAGTTCATCAGCATCTATAGCAGACACGGTAGTTATTTGCTCCCCCACACCTAGATCTCTGGGAATTGTTCCTTCACAATTTATTTTCTCAAACAAAGGTGTGTTGTCATTCAAGTTGTTGAGAGTAATAGTAGCAAGGACTTCAACTTCCCGACGGTATGGCAAGCCCCAGTCTGATGCTCGAATTCTTAAGGTATAAACCCGAGGCATCAGTTCGTAGTCCAGGTTTTCTGAAGTACTCACGGCACCAGTGAAATGATCAATCACAAATGGCACATGATTTAGATTTGCAATACTGTAAGTCACGTATCCATTCTCACCCTCATCAGGGTCTATGGCGCTCACCCTCATGACAGTAGTACCAATGGGTGCGTTCTCATCAAAGGATGCTTTGTACGCTGTCTGGGTAAATTCAGGGGGATTGCTATTTGTACCTAAGACTTTAACCAAGACTTTTGTGGAGGCTTTTCTGTCACTTGTTGTTACTTCAAGTTCAAAATGGGATGTCTGCTGTCTTTTAATTGGTTCTAAAATGGAAATGAGACCAGTGTTATGATTTAAACTGAATTTAGCTTTTCCAGGTGTACTTTTAAAAACATACCTCAAATGGGGATAACTAGGAACGGCTTTTACCATGACCACAGGTGTATTGGGAGGAGCAAATTCACTTATTTCTGCTCTGTAAATATCCTTTTCAAACCTGACTGGCCCAGCTTTAAAGTGTGGAGAAGTCACATGAATTACTTTTACTGAAGAGAACTGGGGAGGAGTTCCCTTATCTTTAGCCTGTAGAGTCAGATTGTAGCCAGAAGGATGACTGTCCCAATCAATGCCATTAAGAGCTTTGATTTTATACTCTTTACTTCCTGGAGAGGATCTCACTGTTCTAAACTGTTGAAGGAAGTCACCTGCCACAATGCTTAAAGAAGCGATTTCCCCATTGGCACCCTGATCACAGTCATCCACAGTTACAATTGCATATGTCGGGTCCTTGTCCAGTTCTGATGGTGACAATGTCACTGCTGTTATCACAGGAGCACATTCATTGGCCTGTTCCACATGAACTGTTAGCTTGGCCATGCTGCTGATACCACTGCTACCATACAACTTCATTCCTCGGTCCACAGCAAGGATCTCCAGCTCATAGAGCTGAGTCTCTACGTAATCAAGTCTACCAGTTAAAACTACGGTGCCACTGGTTGGGTGAATAGCAAACATGTCAGTTCGGTCTTTAAAACTGTAATAAAATTCTCCATTGGTTCCTATGTCTGCATCTGTGGCACTGACTCGGGCAATACTGGTCCTTATAGCTGTATTTTCAGGTAGGGAAACACTGTATGAGGTGGGTGAGAACAATGGTCTCAAGTCATTTGTATCCAGCACTTGAACCCTGACCTTTGTTCGTGCTTCAACATTAGTATTTTTTTCAACTGCTTTGACTATCAATGTGTAATGGTCTTTCACTTCTCTGTTAAGAATAGCTGTGTTTCCTCCTTTGGTCCTTATTCTTAGAAAGCAAAAATCTCCAAGAATGTATTCCTCAGCTTTGAACAGGTTTTCGTTGTCTCCTGAGACAATTTTGTACCTTAATTCCCACAGTGGATTTGTAATGTAAATACCCATCTTCACAGGATGCCCAACATAGGTTTTAGCTGCAGAATTCTCGTGCACAGTGACATTGTACTGGAAATGTGTAAACTGTAGAGGAGGAGGATGTTCAAGTCTTTGGCTTCCATCACTGTCTCCAAAATGTTGGAGAAGGAGAAGCAGAAGCAGAAGCAAGGCCAAATGTCTCCCCATTGTTTAACTCTCAGGAACCTAAAATAGAAGAAAAAAATAAGAATTATCACTTTAAGAAATAAAACAAGCAAAAAAACAATGTAAATTGCTTTAAACCTTATATTAAAGTATCTTTCATCTATTTGAAATATGGATAAACGCAATGGACTGGGATATTATTTTCCTGTTTTTCAGTGGGTATCAATATTCTTTCAAAAAGTATAGAATTACTGTTTGATAACAATCTTTTTATGGCTCAAAATCCTATTTTTCATATTTGATAAAACCATAATAAACATTGAAGTCTGACAACCATAACAATTAAATTTTATATTTAAAATATTTAAAGTAAACATAAGCAATTGTTAAAGAGAAAGGTGAATAAATATTTTTTACATTTAGTTCATACAATTAATTGAACGCTAAAAATGCTTGCAAACTTAATGTTACTGCAGTACAGTGAGCATGCAAAGATTCTAATGACTTAGGGGAAAAAAATCCAACAGTGGCTTTCCGTGATCTTCCATAACGATAGCTGGTAATCCCATTTCAAAATTTATCCTGAAATTATATTATTTCTTTATAAGAATGATCAAGTTCACTCCCTACACAAAACAAGGTTTTACTGTCTCATTTAACATATTTAACTATTTAAATGTATTTTTTAAATCATATCATCAAGCCGAAGTAATTTCGGAAACACTAACATGAGCACTCAAAAAAGGTCAGTTAACAATCTGAATTCTAGAATTCAGTAGTTAGATATCAGTCAGAGTTAGCAAAGCAAATTCTAGAATTCAGTAGTTAGATATCAGTCAGAGTTAGCAAAGCAAATCTCACCAACAGCATCAATATTTTATCACCACCGATGTCAACAACCAGTTGCTCATAATGTCTACAATCTTCAAGACACTGACCTACCTATTACCCAGGGGGCCTCCATTAAAAGACAAGATATACACATACAAAAGCTAACTCAAAGTTAACACAAATGAAGGGTCAAATCAATGTAGCAAGGTGTCAGGAACTGAAAGAGGGTCAGAAGGTGACCTGGGAAGGAAAGAAGGAAATTTATAAGAAAAAGTTGCCTCTAACAAGAAGGTAGGCTAACTCTACTGGGCTGAAATCTGGCCAGAGAAACAGGACAATATTTTCAGATAATATTTTCAATACTTTCAGACAATGGCACTGTTCTATCATGCCAACAAATTCATCTTATAAATCAATGCAGTTTCACACCCCACCCAGCACTGAATAGAGGACAGCACTGAATCCTTGCAAAGTTAGTTCCAAATTAATATTCACAAAATGTCAGGGCTACCAAAGTGAAAGAAGCAGACTGGAAGGCTAGTTTACCAGCTGGGCTGAAATAAGTATGGGAACATTAATTTGTAGTATCTGAACTCAGCTACTGCCAACTTTGCCCCATTAGTCATTTCATTAGGAGAAAAAAAAAAAAAAGATCTGATATACTTAAAACAATTAGAAGTTTAATTGCCACTGAATCAATTAATTGCCACATTCAAGTTAGGCACCCTAACTTTTTCTTTAGCTATCATGGCCTTCTTCTCAGAGATACAATCAGGAAATTAGATCTCTGGACTCTAGAAGAATCATCATTTCAACAAAATAAGACTATTTTTCTCCCAAAACTATGTCTAAACACACCTCAATTTGGTCAATGATGCTAATACTCATAGAAATTTGAATATTACAAAATGATCCGGGAATTTTAAGAAAAGAAGGAGAAAATTCAATTCAATTCAACCCACAGGTTTTAAGGACCTGCTATCAGACAGCACCAGGCTAGGTACATAAAGTTAAAGATTAGAAAAGGCAAAGCTCACAATCACAAGACACAAAGTAGGAATAAAAAACGCATATAAAGAAAATGTTTTGACGAACACTAACAAAGATAATGTTGAGCACTGTCTTGGTTTAAGGAAACACATTGTTTCAGGAGACATGATTATTATTATACACTTTATAATGAAGTATCATACCAAGATTCTACTGTAAACACTTAAAAATACTTTTGCTTAATTCTACATATAAATCATGCAGCCATCAAAAAGATGGCATTCCATGTGTTGATATGTAAATATGTCCAGATATATCAATAGAAATACTGAGCCGATCCCATTTAAAAAAAGGAGAAATGCAGATAAATTGTGTTCACATGTTCCTGGTATACGGATATATTTAAAAATGAGGGGAAATTGTGGACAGATAAAAAAGAAACTCATTGGGAATTTATAGAGAACACAAAGAGGGAATAGGCAGTTAGAGGAATGTATACATTTGCACTTTGTTACTTGAATTTTTAGTGTAAGTATATGTCATCTTTATCATCTACTCACTTCTGTAATTATTGAACTCTTTCAACATATATTGAATGAACACACCTACGCTGAGTCAGGTACAATTCCAAATGCTGGGGATTCAAAAGTGAATCAAATTACCAAATCCTGATGTAAGAGATGGACAAGTAACTAAACCAAAAGTACACTGGACGCTGAGGAGAAGTGCCAAGGAGAAAAGCAAAGCGGGGCAAGAAACACTGGTCAGGAATCTGATAGCAAACAGAGAACCCCAAATTCTAAAGGGCCAGAGAGTCTCAACCTTAGCACTTGGACATGAGGGGTATATAATTCTTAGATTCTCTGAGACACTGGGATAGTTACCATTATTTCTGGTCTCGACCCACGAAAACCCCATAACATTATCTGTCCCAGTTGTGACAACTAAAAGTGTCTACACATTATCCAAATGTCCTCTAGGGCTCAAAAATCACCCCTAGAGAAGAAGTAATAGATTAGAGAAACAACCCAGAGATCATGAAGATTGCTCTCCTCTTCCCCATTGTGCTCCAAAGAGAGACAGGAGGTAGGGAGAGAGCAGATCATAAAGGAAAGGTTTTTTTTTTTTTTTTTTAATGAACCTTTTATTTTAAAATTGTTCTAGATTTACAGAGAAGCTGCAATTTCCTGTCTCCCTTGTTAACACCTCACATTAGTATAATACATTTGTCACAACTAATGAATGAATGCTGATACATTATTGATTCAGGTCCATACTTTACTCAGATTTTCTTAAATTTTACCCAATATACTTTTTCCACCCCAGGATCCCATTCAAAAAAAAAAACACACATTATATTCAGCAGTCCTTTCTCCTTAGACTCCTCTGAACTATGGTCTCTAAGATTTTCCTTGTTTTTAACAATCCTGATAATTTTGAGAAAAGTACTAATTAGACATTTTGTAGAATATTCCTCAGGCAAAATGAACCTCAATTGAAATTTGTCTGATAATTTTCTTATGCTTAGACTAGGATTGTGTTTTGAAAAGGATCACCACAAAGGTAACCTGTCATTTTCATCACATCAAAGGACATAATCACATTATTGAAACTAAATATTGTTCACTATATTGAGGGGGTGTCTGTTAGGTTTTTCCAGGGTAAAGTTATACCATTTCCTCCTTTTCTGTACTGTACTCTTTGGAAAAAAATCACTGTATGCATTCATCCCATTCTTAATGGATGGAGAGCTATGTTACCCAATTTTTCCATAAAATTAATGTGTCTGTTGTCCCCTAATTACATATATAGTCAAAACATTTTTTTAAGGACTTTGGATCTGCTACAAATAAAGTGGGAAACCACCAGATGACTCTGAAAAGTAGAGTGACATGGAGTGACATGATCTTAACTGAAAGGGTCACTCTGGTATCTTTGAGAAAATGTAGGACAGCAAGAGCAAAAGCTGAAGGGAGTCCAGTCAGAGGCTACAGAAATAATGCAGGTGGGTGACCAGGGTGTCTTGACCCAAAAAGGTAATGATGACAATAGGGAGAAGCATCCAAATCTGGACCCATTTCAGGATTTGCTGATGAACTGGAGAGAAGGGAGAAAAAGAAGTATCAAAGAAGATTCCAAGAATTGTATGATGAGCAAAGAGAGCAGAGCTGCCATGTACCAGAAAGGAAAGACTAATAGAGAAATAGGTTAGAGGGACTAAGATTAGGAGTTCAGTTATGAACAAGATAATTTAGAAATCACTATGTTTAGAAGTGGCCCCCAAAGGCCCATATGTAAGACTTGGTACCCAGCCTGTGGTGCTACGGGGAGATGGTAAACCCTTCATGAGATGGGGCCTACTGGAAGGGAGTTAGGTCACTGGAGGTATTCCCTGAGGAAGTGGACCCCAACCACGTCCTCCCCACACCCTCTTTGCTTCCCAGCTGCCATGAGGTGAACCAGGCCTACGCTACCACCATAATGTACTGTGCTGCCACAGGCTCAAAGCAGCAGGGCCAAACAACCATTGAATGAAACCTGTTAAACCATGAGTCAAAATAAACCTTTTCTCCTTCTAAGCTGATAATCTCAGATACTGAGTCACAGCAACAGAGAGCTGACTAACCCAGAACAGCCTACAGGTTATCCAAATAAGGGTTTTCAGCAGGCAGACAGAGATGCAGGCAAAGTCCAGCTGGAGGCTTTAGAGTGTCAGGATACAAATGATAGTATCTAAAACAAGGAAATGGAATGAGAGGACAGACCAGGAGAACACAGAGGAAACAAAAAAAAAGGAAAACCCAAGATGGAGCCTTGCTGCTCCCCAAGATCTGAGAAGGAAGAACCAGCAAAGAGAGCGCAGGAGTAGTTATGGGAACCAAGAAACAGTGGTGTAATGAAAACAATAATAAATCTTTCTGAGCATTTGAATCTACCATCAGAACTTAGAAAGGACCCCTAAATCCTGGCTGCTGCCATACTGCCCTCACCACCACTGCTGAAAGGACCTGGGTCACCTCCCCTCCCAAGTCATAGGCTCAACATATAAAATTGCTGCAGCTGTCCTCTCCCAAGTTACTCAGTCTAATCACTGTCCCTGCCAACACCCAGCGGGATCCCTAAACACAAAAATCACCTTCCACAACCCACCCAACATAGTTCTCATAAGACAAATCACGGTTGGGTAAACTTTCTGAAGCACATTCATAACTGAGGCTTTCTAAAACCCTGAATTTATT